AGTAATCATAATGAGTGCTTTGTCATTTGCTGTCTCAGTAATTTGATATGATTCACTAAATTTTAATTTCCTTACATAGAAATGTATATTTCAAAGTAAATGTATATACATACATTCTTTTTACTTAATTTTTTCTTCATAGTTTCCAGCAACTTCACTATCATTCAGGTGAATAGCTTAATATGTACTTTCAATATTTCTCTAAGATAATATAGCAAATACTGAAATATATTTAATTTTTAAATGAAAATTTGAAACACATGTGGCTATGATTTAAGAAAATTGGATTCTAATAAAAACTATCCTTTGTCTAATACACTTTAATTTTTCTATTTAAGAAGTAAAGTAAGCTACCTTATTTGCAAATTTATTATGCATGCTTTTGACAAAGCATGGGCAAAAATAAATAAATAAAGTCAAAAAATATGTCAAAAGCTAAATTTCAAATTCTTGCCTGCACATTCCATAATTCAGTTGATACACAAAAGCTCTCAGTCAGTCCTGTGTTTATCATCAGGGTGCCTAAATCATTGTGTGAACTGCTGAATGTTTCTCTGCCCTTATTTTGAAAAAAATCTGCCTCCCCCAAAACAAATGGTGCTCAAAAATCAAGGTAAGAGTTCATGTATTTAATTTAAATAATAAAGTGAAAATTTGAAGTTTATCTTCTTTGATTTCTTTTTTTCAGTGATTTATAGTTTTTATTGAAGAGATCTTTCACTTCCTTTCTTAAATTTATTCCTAGGTATATTTTGAGGCTATTGTAAATGGGATTGTTTTCTTGATTTCTTTCTCAGTGTATTCATTGTTGGTATATAGAAAAGTTAACTGACTTTTGTATTGGGATTTTATGTCCTCCTACTTTTTTGAAAGAATATGATTTTTAATAGGATTTTTGTGTGAATAGCTTAGGGCCTTTTAGGTATAAGATCATATCATTTGCAAATAGGAATAATGTGACTTCTTCCTTCTGTATTAAAATCCATTTTATTTCTTCCTCCTGTTTTTTATCTCTGGCTAGGGATTTGAAACTGTATTGAGCAAGAGTGAGGCAAATGGCAGAATCAATATTGTGAAAATGGCTATACTACCAAAAGCAATCTATATGTTCAATGTAATCCCTATAAAAATTTCACTTACATTCCTTACAGAAATAGAAAAATAAATCCCAAAGTTCATGTGGAAGCACAAAAAAAACTTGAGAATCCAAAGCAATTCTGAGCAAAAACAATGCTGTAGGTATGACAATGCCTAGTTTCTAACTATACTATAGAGCCATAGCAATAAAAACAGCATGGTACTGTCATAAAAACAGACATGAAGACTAGTAGAACAGAATAAAAGACCCAGACATAAATACCACACAGCTAAATCTGAAATATGCTTAATTTTTAAGTGAAAATTTGAAAACTATGTGGTTATGATTTAAGAAAACTGGATTCTAATACATACTATCCTTTGTCTAGCACATAGGATACACTCCAATTGTTCTATATAACAAGTACAGTAAACCTCCCAAAACATACATTGGAGAAAAGATAGCTTCTTGAACAAAGGGGCTGGGAAAACTGGATATCCACATGTAGAGGACTAAAATTAGATCTCTATCTTTCACCCTCCTGTACAAACATCAATTCAAAGTCTATCAAAAGCCTTAGCATAAGACCAGAAACTATGAAACTGCTGTAGGAATCAGGAAAGAATAGGGGAAATTGGAACATACAGGCATAGGCAATGATGTCCTTAATAGAACCCCAATAGTTCAGCAATTAGGAGGAAAGGTAAACAAATGGGACTGTATCAAACTAAAAGCCTCTATACAGCAAAGGATACAGTCACTAAACTTAAAAGACAGCCTACAGAATGGAAGAAAATCTTTGCCAGTTATTCAGCTGATAAGGAACTGTTAACCATAGAATCTACAGGGAGCTCAAAAAATAAATTCCTGTAGAAACAACAACCCAATGAAGAAATGGGCGCATGAACTTAACAGACTATTTTCAAACAAAGGAAGAAACAGGTGTGGTCAATAAATGCATGAAGAAGTTCTCAGCTTCCCTGGCCATAAAAGAAATGAAAATCAAAACTACTTAAGATTTCATTTCACCCCAGTTAGAATGAATATTTTTAAAAACACAAACAACAACAAATGTTAGCAAGGATGCAATAAAACAGGAACACTTATACACTGTTGGTAGGAATGCAAATTAGTACAAGTACTGTAGAAAGCAGTATGGAGCTTATTTTTAAAAACTAAAAGCAGAGCTACCATAGGAATCCAGTGAAACACTCCTGGGTATATAATGAAAGGAATATAAGTCAGTATACAGTACAGCCACTTGTACACCCATGTATATTGTAGCAGTATTCACAATAACCAAGCTATGGAAACAGCCCAGATGCCTTACAACTGATGAATGGATTAAAGAAATGAGACTATTACTCAGCCAGAAAGAAAAATGAAACTATGTTGTTTGCAGGTAAATGGATGGAACTGCAAAGCATCATGGTAAGCTAAGTAAACCAGGTTCAGAAAGAAAATGTTGTATGTTTTCTCTCATATATTGAGGATGTATGCAAAAGATAAATGTATATGCAAATACAAACATGATCTTACACACATTTATATGTAGAACATGTATGCAATTGTGGGATTGTATCATGGGAATCGGGGGAGGAGGAAGAGAAAAAGAGAATCATAGAGATTGAACAATATCAAAATACATTGCATTTGTAAAGGAAGATATCATAAAGAAAAGCTATTGAATAATAGGGGGTGGGAGGAAAGGACAAGAAAGTAATAAAGGGAGTTAATGTGACAAAAGTACAGTGTATTCACAGCTGAAATACCATTGTAAAAATATGGACTTAAAAATGAAGGACAGGATTATAAAGCAGGTACTGTGAGGGAGGGACTTGTGGGAGGAAAAGGGTGAAGAGGGGATAAAGGAGAATAAATATTCTCGATGTACTTTATATTCTTATATGGACTAGAACAATGAAACCTATTGTCATTGTAAAGGGGGGTGAGAGGGATAAGGAAGAGAGATGGTAGAGGGGATGAATGGAAATGTCACAATATCATTTGTTCACATGTGTGTACATTGTTTGGGTCATTTCTCTCCCCTGACCTCACCCTCACCTTTCCCCCACCTCACTTCCAGGCAGAAGTGAAGAGAAGACATAAGCATAGTAAGAAAGACAAAGCGATTTTGCTAGTTAAGGATAGCTATACAGAGAGATTCCTAGCATTGCTTTCATGTACAAATATGTTACAACCCAAGTTGATTTGTCTCTAACTGATCTTTACACAACTAACATATGCTAATAAAATGTGTTTTAAAATTTAGGTTTGTAGAAAGTCAGCTTGTCTTTAACACAAGTTGGGTGACATTATGGGAAAATGAATGGAGCATCCTCAGTACAGTGCTCAACTCTATGCGTCCTGATCATTCATGGTTTTTCCTCAATGGGGATCATGTTAGAACCATATATCTGTGAATATCAAGTATATAGACTATACTATACTATATAGAGTCAATGTGCCTTATTTATTTATTGATTTGCTCATGGTGAGTGTTCACTTGATTGAATGGCTGCCAGTAAACATGTTTGTGTAAAATATCAGCCCTTTTATCTGGTTATAAATATTTTCCAAATTATCATTTTTTGTTAATTTGGCTAATACTATATTTTCCCATGCAATAATTTTATTTTATGTACTTAAATATATCTGCCTCTTCTTTAAAGGAAAGTGATTTTTTGGCCTGTTATAACAAGGCTTACTCTCCCCCAAAATTGTACCTTAGAGTCTCATAGAGTTTTCCTCTCATTTTTTACTTTTTCATATTACTTACATATTTGGAATTCCTTTTTAAACATAGAGTAAGAGGGAAAGATCAATGTTATTTTCTTTGTAGTGGATAGCTATTTATTCCAGTTGCATTTAATAAATAATCCATTATTTTCCTCTGAGTTATATTACCTTATAAATCATACTTTATAAAGTCATATAAATAAAAGCTAATTCTGAAGTTTATATTCTATGCCACTGATATTTCTGTGTAACCTTATACATGTACTATTTTTTAGATTATATTGATTTTGTAATAACTTTTTTAGGACCAGTAAATCAAGTTTCCTTCATGTTTTCCTCTTTTTACAACTTACACAAATCTGTTTGGAATGTAAAGTATAATTGCATGGATATATACATTATTTTAAGAGAATTTACATTTTAGTATATTATTTTCCTGTTCAAAAATTTCATATATATTTTCACTTGTTCAAATGTCATTTTATCCCTTCAATGATATTTTATGGTTTATGGAAGTTCTATCATCCTTGTTATCTTTATGCTTATGTATTCTGACGTTCCTATCACAAAAGTGAATGCAGTATTTTCTCCATTTTCGTGCGTAGTATACATGATTTGGATTAAGTTTGTGTCTTTAATTTGTACATGGTCAGCAATACAGTTCTCTGGTTTATTCTAGTAATGCTTTCACTAGGAGCTTTGGGGAATTTTTATATAATCATATCCAATGTTTCATGCATTATTTTCTTTTTTTTAATTGGGTTGAAGCCTACAAAACATATAGCCCTAGGGCAATTAATGGGGGGAAAGACAGCCAGGTTGCCTATGACTATGCTAAAAACCACAGAATTGTGGACTTTGTTTTGTTTAATTTATTGATGATACTGGGATTAAACCCAGGGTGCTAGAACCGTTTACCACTTGTGCCACACATCCAGATCTTTGGTAACTTTTTGTTTTTGAGATAGGGTCTTGATTACTTACTTTGCCTAAGCTGACTGCTGACCACTATCCTCCTGCCTCTACCTCCTGTGTCACTGAGATTCCATGCATGTTCATCATGTCTGACTGAATTGAATCATTTCTCTTATGTCTTACAAAAATAGTGATATTTCTTCATTCTCCAGGTTCCTGTTAATAAAGAAAAAAATTAGTGTGTATTTTGCCAGAAAAGTGTAAGGAGATGAGCAAACTCCTTTCTGTAAAATTGAGTGATAACCACTTCATGCCTATGCTGGGATTTGGCACCTCTGCTTCCAATAAGGTAACATATTGGATTGGAGGTGGAGGAATAGCAGATCTGGTTCCTGATAACTACCAGCCACTGTATAGTTTAGGGAACTCAGGCAGGCCTCACATTTCAGTGTTTAAGATACTTCCCTCCAGGTTAGGTTACAGGTCTCCGAGTTAGGTGCATTTTCAGTGTTTTTTGAAATTTTACAGATATGGAATGTGAGAATCTTATTAAAAATGCTGATTCAAAAGCCTAACCCCAAAAGTTCTGAGCAAATCTAGAATAAGTTTAAAAATACCACAATTCTAATTTGCAACCAAGTGGTTCTGATGCTACTCATCCAAAGATCACAGTTGGAGTACCACTATATCAAGACAGATGAATTTTGTCATCTTTTAGCAATTCAGGGGTGGATAGGTCTGTTTTTATTACTCTCACCTGCTGTCCAGTGGTAGCCATCTTACAAAATATTAGGGTAAATGAAACCTAGTTGTCATCATTACCATGTACCAGAAAATTCAAAGGAAGCTTACTTGTGAAAAAAGTTTCTCTGTAATTTTTAAAGTCCAAGTTCCCCCTATGTGTCACCAATTATAGAATCTAGAGAAAACTGTGGCAATTACGATGTGGAAAAAGGACTAGAGTTTTGGTGGTACAGTTTAGAAACAGTCTCTTGAAGGCTAGGTTGTTGATACTGTGCCATGATGAAAGCCAAGTAGCATTTAGAAATTTTCCTTCTGTTTGGAATACTAAACTCCATATCAGTGTCTGAGTTAAGCACTGAAAACTTAAGGGCACATCTTAGTGCTCATGATGATAATTATTCAAGGAAAGTCAAGGGAATGATTCTCCAACAAGACAGGTGTATTGCAACGAAGATTGCAAGCATGGATATTGGCATGAATGGTGCTCTGTCTGAACTTGGGCTCTTGAATCAGGACATTCAGTCTCCATGGAACTCAGTTAACTCATAATAACTTGGAAATGAAGAGATATACCCAACAGACATCTGATTTCTGACTATTATGTAACAAATGGTAATAAAGAAAGCATTTTGAATTACTTTTAGAGTCCAGCCTGGTGGGACATTAGAACTACAGGCAGCTAAGAAAAATATCAAATTTTGAAGGAGAAATTATCACATAAGGACCAACTTAGCACCAAAAATAAAAGGAATTAGTTATGAGATATTTATAAGTGGAAAAGAGTTTATTTTTTTCTTTTTTTCATCCTCCATGAAATGTTTTTTGAAGTGTTTTTCCAAGCTTAGATTAGTAAATTACTAATTATTCTGTCTCAAGTTACATATTCTTTACATTGATAGATAATTAATAGCATTAGATTTCTGGGTTTCAGCCAGTATAATCTCTTCTAGAATAAATTAATTTAGTAATATAAGTGTAGATTATTAAAATATACAGTTGTAGAGGTACTGTAAATTCAGATATAGAACTAAACCTGATGGTGTGCTGTACAGATAGTGTAAATTTAGGGACATAGAACTAAACCTGTGTCTTCAATGTAGGATCCAAGCATCAACTGTGAATATCTTTTCTCAATTTTGGCAGCTTTAAATTAGGCATAGTGGGGCTATTTACACTATTAGAATTGGCAAATACTACAAATCAAGACTTCCTTCAGGGAGTTAGTTTTTAAATATTCACCACTGATTGTAACTCAACATTTAGATTTATAGCTTCTAATATTATCCTTCAGAAAAACAATAAGTTTTTAAAAAAATTATTAGCATATATTAATTATACAAAGTAAAGTGTTTCATTATTATTTCCATATGTACATTTAATGTACACTGATCAGGATCACTCCCACTGTTACTCTTTCTTATCCCCCCTTGCCTCCTTTTCTACCTCCCCTTCCAACTCCCTAGTAATCCCCCCTTTACTTTCATGGCCTTGGTTTTCTTTCCACCCTCCTTAGCTTCCACAAATGAGAGAAAACATAAGAGCCTTGTCTTTGTGGTACTGGCTCATTTCACTTAAGATTATGATCTCCATTTCCATCCATTATCCAGCAAATGACATTTCATTCTTCTTTTTGGTTGAGTAAAACTCCATTTTACATACATTTTCTTTATTCATTGATCTACTGATGGACAAATAGGCTAATTCCACAGTATGGTATAGTGAATAATGCTATAATAAACATGGGTATACAGATATCTCTATAGCAAGCTGATTGACACTTTTGTGTATGTACCCAGAATTGGTATGACTGGGTCACACAGGAGTCCTATTTTTAATTTGAAGAGTCTCCATAGTGACTTCCATAGTGGCTGGACTAGTTTAGACTCCCAACAAAGTAAGAGTTTCTCTAACCAGCATGCTTACCAGCAATTTTATGTTTTCTCAATAAAATACACTATGGACTACATCACTAAACATAACCCCCAAAGAGAACAACAATTTCACCCTAAATCTCAGTGTAACCAGCAACAACCAATGTGAACATTCTGTGGATCCAACACCGAGGTAGATACCTATCTCTTCATACACGTGTGAAAATATGTGCATACAATTTGATGTACAGAATAGCATGCATAAGGTCTGCAACTGAATTCTTATTTTCATATTTTTCTGTATAAGTCATGACTAGATTTCCTCATAATAAATTATGTTTGACATCATTGCAAAAAAAAATAGATTCTGTTGCATAGCTCTGCATATGGAATTAGTCTTCTGTTCCTGAATCTAATAAACTTCTTTCTTTCCTAGGATGCTAAGAGTAAGGTTGAAGAGGCCATCCAGAGTGCAATCGATATAGGTTACCGCCATATTGACTCAGCTTTTTTTTACCAAAATGAAGAAGAAATTGGATCTGCCATCCAGAAAAAGATTGCCAATGGCATTGTGAAGAGAGATGACCTATTCTATACTTCAAAGGTACTGTGTATGGCTGCATGTACTGTAACTACAGGAGTAGGAAGCTTACTCATAGTAGAATAGTTTTTTGAAGGAAAAAATTAGAAACTGATCAGGAACATATGTTCTGTGCTCAGATTTCTATATATGAATCAGACTCTCTACCACTTACTAAATGTGCAACCTCAAACTACTTAAACTCTGTGTTTTAGTTTCCCAAGCTCTAAAATGATGATAATATTATTTACCTCATAGGATTTTCATGTGTTACATCAAAAAAATATCTAAAGCTCTTAGCCCTTAGAAAAATATTTGTGACTCCTCAAAAAAAGCTAGCTGTTATCATTATCTTATTTTTAAACACAGGAATGAATTTTTATTGTCCAACTCTGCTTTTTCAAATTTTGAAAGTTATTATTTCACTTTCCTAATCTTTCTTAGCTATTGCCTCAGGTAATGTGAATTAGTTTGAAAGTGTATGCTTTGGAATCAGACAAAACTGGAATCAAATTTTAGCTAAACATTCTATCAATTTGAATTTATGAAATTTTCCTAACTAAAAGTGTTTAGCTTTTCTGAGCTTTGCTGTTCATATCTCAACTTATTTGGTAGTCATTTAATATTTTTTTCTATTCCTTATAAAATGGGGATAAAACCTCAAATTGATATAAAGATGAAATTATTGCTCGTAAAAAGTACTTATGTACTCTTTTTTTTTAAACTCATGTCATTTTGTCCTAATATTGTTCACATCCATTGATACAAGATCTTAAAACAAATAACTTAGTATTTAAGTCAGATAAGAAAGGGAACTCCAAAGGAATTTTTCGCTGATATTTATTGAACTGACCATTGCAAAAAAGAAAAATCGAACTATGAAGTAAGTAGGGCAGAAAGCAAGTTCACATCCATGAAATTCTGTAAAGAACATTTCTTCTAGCCCCTGAGAATATTTTTAAATGTGATGTAATGTAGCTACAGCACCAGCCACCCTACCCCACTCTTATCTTTTAATGCTCCTTTTCTATGAATTATTTATTTCCTCACTTTTGGTCATTTTGATTATTTTTCCCTACATTGCTTCTTAAAAGGAACTGACTAATACATCCAAAAATATTGGGACTAACTTTCTTTGGTCCCAAAGAAAAGCCTAACCATTTAATAGAGTAAGGAAAAAGTTTCCTCAGTCACAATCACTTGGGGTTATGGTGTAACATACAATTTCTCAATGTGGCCTCAAAATGTTGTGATTTATTATGTGTGGGGTAGAACCCAGGAATATATTTTGAACAAACAAACCAGATAATAAAGTTTCACAATCAATGTGCTAAGACCACGTTTGTGTTTTCTATATTGGTTGTCCCTATTCAGTCTGAAAATACTATGCTATTATAAGGAATCCATAAGATTCATTGGGTATAACTACTACAAGGGGGGGGGCGGGCTGTTGTTGATATTATTCATTTGCCGTTTTATTAATCATTCTTGAAGATTTTTTTTCCTCTTGAAATATTAAGGGTTGAACTCAGGGCCTTGCTCTTGCTAGGCATGTGCTCTACAGCTTAAGCCACTCCATCAACCCTTTTTGTGCTAATTATGTTTGGTATAGGGTCTTGCTTTATGCTCTGGCTGGCCTGGAATGTGATTGTCCTATTTGTGCTTCCCCATGTAACTGGGATGACAGGCATGTACCACCATGCACAGCCATTAATAGAGATGTGATCTCACAAACTTTTTGCTTGGGCGGCCTTAAGCTATGATTCTCCAGATCTCTGTCTCCTTGGTAGCTAGGATTATAGGCTGGAGCCACCATGCCCAGTTTCATTACTAAAGATTCTTGTTAAAGAAATAATCCCATACAACTTCTCTTTCAACCACTACAGCTATGGAGCACCTTTTGCCGTCCAGAATTGGTCCAAGTAGGCCTGGAAGCATCATTGAAGAAAGTTCAGCTGAGTTATGTGGATCTTTACCTTATTCATTTCCCAGTACCTTTGAAGGTTAGCAAAAGGTTTTATTTGTTTGGGAGAGGGTGTTTGTCTTGTTTTTACTTTGGTGATCAACATAAAAATTAGCATATGTATATATGAAAGGATACAGTGAGGATAAGAAACATACTCTTTCTCTCTTTCTCTCTCTCTCTTTCTCTTCCCCTTCCTGTCCCTCTTCCTCTCATTTTTTTTCTCAAACTCTTCACCTTCAGTTCACTATTCCAGCCCCAGAGTGATAGTTCACTGGTTCTCATGTCTTTGCCTCGATCATGTGACTATATTTCCTGTATTTTCAAGCTCCCATACTCCTCAATTTCAACCCTATGCTCATGAATAGCTGGTGACTGCCCTGATGTGGAGTTCAGTTAAGAGACAGGAAATTTAATGAGGCTGAGACTCAGCAGCTGAGGTGCTAACAATTCACTCTAAAGGAATGGGACAGGATTCCTCTACCAGGCTCCAGGACTAAGGAGCTCACTGGATACAATGCTACTCTATGCTCTATCTAGCACAGGGCTGTAGTGGGGTGTTAGCCTTGACACAACAATATCAATTTAACTTTAGCACTTCAAAGCTTCTCTAGGAAGTGTTTATCCTCTGTGTACTTCTTTTGCCTCTAGATTAACTTTATAAATTCTTTCAAGAATAAAGGCAAATTGTTCCATCAGTCTCAAGGTCTATGTGCCACAAATAGCTTTGATGAGCCAGATACATCTTCATGTGAGCTTATCCTTGCTCTGTTTCAGCCAGGAGATGAGCTTTTACCAAAGGACTCACATGGAAAACTCATTTTTGATGATGTGAATCTATGTAGTACTTGGGAGGTAAGTGCACTTCAGAGAGGCCATGTCTCTAACCTCAAGGGAGGTGGGGATGGACAAGAAATTTAGGAAAGACGAATCCCCAACTCTTTCCACTATACTCAGGTGAGTCTCTGAATATCCCAGTGTTTGCACATTTCATTTATTTACCCATTCAACAAATTCTTACTGAGTTTCTCTGACAATTTCCTGAGTATTTAGAATACTGCTTGATATATCACAGAGCAAAGGTCTCTGTCTGATGAGAATGGTCAGTGGTATGGGGGGAATAGTTTAGTGAAGAATTGAGAGTAATAGGAAGGGTTTGGAACACAGAGATGCAGTAAGAAACAGAATGGAAGAATAGTGCTGTTTGAAATGTGACATTTGAACAAAGACCTGCAGTGAATGAGGGGATGGGCTATGTGAGTATGTGGAAAAGGGTTTTATAGACAGAAAGAAAACCAGGGTAAAGATTTTAAAAGGAAGAGACATTACTCTGTTCAAGGAACATTAAGGGGGAATATGTAACAAGACAGAATGGATGAGTTGCAGAGTAATAATCAATTAAGTCAGAGAAAGCTAGAGTCAGTGGCCTGGCAGATGGTATTGCTACCTTATGTGTGGCACCTGGTTCCATTTCCTTTTCCCCTGGCATATGTTTTGCCATGACTCAGTCAACTTTTTCTAGACATTCACTGATGTTTGTGCTGCCTCTACTATCTCTGTCCTGCTCACTTATATTTTCACATACTATTATCTTCTCACCCATTTTCTATTATTTTTCATTTTCCTCTTACTTTATCAATTCCTGCCTTATTTATTGATATTTGGAACTTGAAAGATTTTCTCTCCCCTTGTCTCATATTCTTCCTCACAACTCTTTCCTATCCAGGCTATGGAGAAGTGTAAGGATACTGGATTGACCAAGTCCATCGGGGTGTCCAACTTTAACGGCAGGCAGCTGGAGATGATCCTGAATAAGCCAGGGCTCAAGTACAAACCTGTCTGCAACCAGGTGAGTCTGATCAATCTGTCCCATAGATCTCTTCTTCCTCTGCTCTTCACCTTCTTCTTTCCTGGATCAGACAGGACCATCAGTTACACTCCCCATTAATGTATTTTGCCTCTGAACATCACAGGCTTCAAAAGAGCAGGATGTACTTCAACTTATTCAAGACAACAATGCTCAAAGCCATGTGAGTTTGTAAAATGAAAATCTAAGAGTGGGTTGGATGATAATCAACTAGTTCTTGTGGTGGTTGATACTAGAAGTTATAGATAACACAAATGTTCAATAAATTCAGATCCTATGCATGTATAAGTAAATGAGTAATCCATCTTTGACTGATAGCTTGTTTAAGTGCTGTGCCACAAGCTAACCACTGAGAATCTTGATGATACAAAACCTCTGCACAGTGATTCAAAGCTACTCTCTTTACAAGATTCTACTTAGAAGATGCATGATGGTTACATAAGAAAGTGAGTGTACTTACTGTTACTCAGCTGTGAACTTAAAATGACAAAATGTATGCTATGTATATTTTATTACCATAAAATCTTTAAAGCAAAGTAAATGTCTATTCATTAAGAGAAACAAATTTAAATGGGCATCTCATAAATTGCCATACCATGGAGAATTATGAAAGAATGTGGACACAGGGATGATTGATGACACTCCCTTGCTGTAGAAGGCTCACACTTCACCCAGGTTATCACACCTCCTTGTAAATGTCTTGCATGAAAACTGAAGACGGATGATGGTCAATCTCTATATTAAATATTAGTGAAGCCTATTTTCTTTTTGAATGAAAGTACAATAGGAGTTCTAAAACATTTTCTTTTCTCTTAATTTCACCAATTAAGAGAAAAGATAAAAAAAACTTTTGACTGAATAGCTGATGAAAATACTCAAGGGAGAACTTTGACATTTCTATGAGTTTTAAAGGGTGAATGTAATCTGTTCAGATGTAAACTGATTACTTGGGGATGAAGATAAAAGTGCAAGCAAAGGTTGAGCTTAAGTACAGTTATTTATGTTCTGTGTAGCAATGAGGTAACAGTAAGAAAATAATTCAAGTGAAATGTTATATAGCTCAACAAATAAGCTTGGTGTGGTGGCACATGCCTCTTATCCCAGATATGGGGTAAGTAGAGGCAGGATGACTGCAGTCTGAGGCTCTAGGCAAAAACACAAGCCCCATTTGAAAAATAAGTAACGCAAAAAGGGCTGGGGGTGTGGCAGAAGCGATATAGCACCTGCCTAGCAAATGTGAGGCCCTGAATTCAAAGCCCATTCCTGTCCCCTCTCCAAAAAAATGTAGAATGTACAATGGAGAAATTCCTATATTAATGTTTCTGTATTGGTAAATCCATTGTACCATACTAATATAATGTAAATAATAGAGATAGATAGGGGTGAGGATAGACAGAAGAGTGAGTATGTGGAAATTTTCTGTACTTTCTTGTCAATATTTCCCTAAACTGATAAGTGCTCTAAAAATTAAGTCTCTTTATTTTATTATTCTTTAAAAGTGAGTTTGCCTGTATTGCCTACTGCAGAGTTGGCCCCTAGAATAACTGTCCAATGATGAGAGCAGTGTCCTGGCATACATGTTACATGGACAAGGGAGCTGAAAAGAAATGGTTAAAAATAAGTGCAAAGGTCCTGGTTTCTTATTCTGTGTGCACTGAGGTGAGGAAAATGGAAAGGTGGAATTGTAGTCACTAAATTTCTCTATCATTGGAATATTTGAGTGTAATATCACTAACATTTTTTCTGACTAATAACACCTACCAAATTATTTCCATTTGATGATAAAAAGCCCAGAAGCATTTCCAAAATTCAATTGGACTTGGGATAAGCCTGAAGCTTGGGGAAGAAATTGAATGTAGTCATTTATAGTGAGGTCAGATTTAGGAGAAAGGATCAAGTAAGGACATCACAATATGATGTGATAGGAAAGAGAAAACATTCCAGTTTCTGGATCCAAAGAATATCAATAACCTTATAAAAAGTCTGCTCAACATTGAGGGATGACTTCTGTGGCTAAATGTCTATTCTTTTTTCCATTATTCAACCAGGTTATTAACTTACTTTGCAGAAAACCCCCAGGAAATAAAAATAAGTTTAAAAATAAAGCTAAACACACAAACGAACATGAGAAAGAATGGAGGGGATATGCTTGGTATCTTGATTTTTGTGATCATATTATGGAAGCCTACATATGTCTATACTCATCAAGATGTATATGTTCAGTATGGGTAAATTTTTGCTAAATATACTATTTTATTAAATCTAAAAACTTTGAGGGGTGATTTATTGGTTCTCAGACAGCAGGAGAGAGAAGAGAGGAATGTAACGAGTGGTAATATTTAAAAAGTAAAAGGACAGAGTTGCTGTTTATTCTATATAAGCAATCACATGCAAACTGAGATCATCTGATAGTCTTGTTATTTAAACCTATCCTCTAAGAATGATGCATTAAGTATATAATCAATATCGTTATACTATCCCTGAGCTGAAGTTCAAAGTTAAGCATTTGGGTGCTGTGTGGGTCTATGGTGATCACTAATTAGCCAATGTTGCTTTTGATCTTAATTTTTTACACCACATAATATGACACTGAATGTTCCTGCTAAATTTTGTATTGGTATCCTGTGAGCTAACACTTCTGCTTGGCATTCTGCAGGTGGAATGTCACCCTTACCTCAATCAAAGAAAACTACTAGAGTTCTGCAAGTCCAAAGACATTGTCATGGTTGCATATGCTGCCTTGGGGTCCGATGTGAACAAAGAATGGTAATGATCTCCATAAAATTATTTTAATCATAGATACTTACTACAGAATACTGACTCTCTGGACAGTATGGGGGAAATTAAGGTTAGAGAGTAGGAATATTTCGCTTTGTAATCCTTTACTATCCCACATCCATACTGTATGGACTCAATATAACATGATTGAATAATAAAATTACCAGGGTAAAGATCAGTTAGAGATGAATCAACCTGGGTTGTAACACATTTGTACATGAAAGCAATGCTAGGAATCTCTCTGTATAGCTGTCCTTATCTCAACTAGCAAAAACGCTTTGTCATTCTTATCATTGCTTATTTCTAGTCTTCAACAGAACTGGAGAGGGGAAGCGAGGGGGGAAGGGGAGAGAGGGTGGGGTGGGGACAGGAGGGAGAAATGACCCAAACAATGTATGCACATGTGAATAAGTGAATAATAAATATAATAAAATAAAAACTACTGCCTGGCAAGTCAAAAAAAAAGAAAATTACTGAAAGATTTTTAAAATAGCAAATTCTCATCTGGATGTTGGTTATTCATTATGATAGTAGTAATTCAGTCTTACTTTGGACAAAATTTTGTCTTTTTTTTACTAAATTTCCCAGAAATGCTTAAAAATGAAAAAGTACTTGTTTCCTCTTCTACCTTTCTTTTATTTTTCATATATATATATATATATATATATATATATATAGAGAGAGAGAGAGAGAGAGAGAGAGAGAGACAGAGAGACAGAGAGAAGAAGCAGGGCAGATATTAAAACACCAAGAGGGTAATAAGAAAGATTTTAGAGGATTAGCCATCACTAGCTTGAATAAATAGTCCTAAGAGGAATGCATATCCATTCCCAGACATGTAGCATTTGTCTTTCCACTCAGGGTGAGCAAGAACAATCCAGTTCTCTTGGAAGATCCAGTACTCAATGACATTGCTAAAAAACACAGGAGAACCCCAGCCCAGGTTGCCCTACGCTACCAGCTACAGAGGGGTGTGGTGGTCCTGGCTAAGAGCTTCAATGAGAAGAGAATGCAAGAGAACTTCAAGGTATGGGGTAGGACTGTGGGCAACAGAGACCAGACAGAGCCACCTCATTTCCCTCTGATAGGCAGTTATTTGTGAGGCTCTCAAGGCATATTTGAGCAAAGTTCATTTCTGTATAAATTTTATGCCTATAATCACCATCTTGAACTGTTTTGTACTTTAACAGCCTCAAGGAAAGGAGTGTAGTTGTTGGAAAGAATGCTAGACAGAGGTTATCAAAGGTTGGGTCCCAAATTCTGATTTTGCCCTATGGTATGACCCTGTGACCCTGTGTAAGTGATCCCTTGACCTCTTCAGCTGTATCTTAATCCATTTTCTGTTGCTATAATGAGTACCAGATAGTAGGAAATTTATAAACAAAGAAGTTTATTTAACTCACAGCTATGTGGCTGGAAATCTAAGACTGGATAGGTATATCTAGTCAGAGCTTTGTGCAGCCTCATAAAATGGTGAAAAAATGGAAAAGGAAGCAGTCACATGCAGAAGGGACAAAATTTGAGTGGCAGATTCACCTTAGAACAACATGCTTAGTAAGTAATCTAGACCTGAGACTGAAAAATCACTCACTGCCTGGAGAATTAACACAATGACACAAAAGTGGCATTAATCACCTGATGGGGGCAGGATCCTCCTGACTCAACCACCTCTTAAAGGTCTCACTGTGTTCAACACCATTATTACACTGGGGAATAAATTTCAACATCAGTTTTGAAGGTAACAAACTATATCCAAACTGTAGCAAATTGTAAAATGAAGGAATTAGATTCAGACAGGCTTGGATTAAAAAACCTAAAGGGTTTTTTTTACTATAGTTGCAGCACCCCCTCCAAAAAAAAGGCCTCTGAGGGAAGATCAGAGATACTAGTTTCACCTATGAATGGACAAATTCCTGTGACTTTTGCCACCAAATGAAAAACAAGTCAGTGTATAGTGGTTCATAAAGCCTACATAAATTTGTGTGTTTCTGGGGAGGGAAGGAGAGCCATAACAATTGCTTCAGGAAAGTTGAAATTGAACTTCTATGTTTTGGCAGGTTTTTGACTTCCAGTTGACACTGGAGGATATGAAAACTCTAGATGGCTGAACAGAAACATTCGCTATCTTAGAGATTCTATGTAAGTAGCTATTGTAGACCCTGGCAAGCATAGTAGAGGAATTCCATTTATAACAATCCACAGAAGGGAGAATCTGTTATTTGAGAACATTGATGGACACCATCTTTTTTCAGACCTGAGACCAGAGCTCTATGCCAATGCCCAGGGCACTGTCTAATCAGGAATAAAAGCAGCACTTGATGCAAGATAAGGCTCCATCCTCAAACCTGTGTTCTCGCTCTATGTTGTATGCTCCCTTACGTATCTATCACTGTGCTTTACTCCAGCCTATACACTGGAAAATCCCCAGTTTCATTTCTATCTTATTCTATTTTTTGTTGCTATAGACTAATACCATAGAGTGGATAATTTATAAAGAACCGACAGTTATTTCTGCAGCTCTGCGAAATAACTTCTAGGCTCTTCTAACTGCACCATAGCATGGCAGAAGTCATTAAGTATGAGAGAGTGAAAGATATCAAATCAGGTCCCTCTTTCTCTTATAAATATTCTGTTACCAGCATGGGCCACACCTTTATTACATCATCTAATACTAATTTCCTCCCAAAGGTCCCACCTATAAATACTATGAACATATGAATTTGGGGGTTAATTTTCCAACATATGAACTTTAGGGCCATATCAAACCAAGGCATTTTTCCTCTGACTCTAAAAATTTGCTTCCTTCTCATATGCATAGCACATTAACTCCATCCAAATAGGCTCAAAGTCTTAACTTTTTCCAGCAACAATTCAAAAGTCTAAAGTCTAAAACCTAGGGTTTTATTTTAATCAATATGGATGACACTCAGGCATGATTTCCTCTAGCTGTGTGCTTGAGAAATCAAAACAAGTTATCTAGTTCAAAAATACAATGGTGAGGCAGGTGGATATTCACTCTGCAATAGGAGAAAAGAGACAAGAAACAAGAAACATGAAAGACCAAAGCTCAGCAGTGAAAAAAACATGATTAAAGCTCTAGAATAAATTTCTCACTTCATGTGCTGTCTCTTGGACACACTTAGGGGTTGTGGCCCCAAAGCTCAGGCAGACCCACCCACATGGCTTTACTGGGTTCATCCCAAGCAGCACTTCTCATAGGTTGAAGTCTAGTGCCTGCAATTTTCCCAGACTAGTGTTGCACATTGGAACCTCCAGGGTTCTGCAATGTCAGAGGCAGCCCTGCCCTTGCACCTATGCCAGAGCTCTTGCAGTCTACTGGACAGTTCTGCTTATTCCCACAGTGCAAACTTAATATATCCAAATTTAAAGCTTTAAACGTCTATTTATATACTCTTAATGTTAGAGCTACAAACACCAATATCATAGCTCAAACCTCACTCTCCACATCTAATTCAAAATGGAGTCTTATTGATTCTATATGCTAGTTATTTCTCCTCTTTTCCTATTTTTATCACAAGTTTTACCCTCTTTAATTCACCTTTTGGGTTGTGTACAGACCTATTTTTAAAAGAAAATTATGCTAATTTTCATTCTTATGCCAGTTTAATGGAAAGCTCTCTTCACCCAGCCTAGAAATAATTGACCAATACTTTCCTTTTATCACTTAGGTTTTCTCCTCACCCAAATTATCCATTTTCTGATGACTGTTAATAACAGAATGTGGGGGTGCCTAAATGTTCTTTGATTCTGGTTGATGAAAAGAGAACAGTTCAAGAATGAGAAGCTATTTGGTTTACTCCATGTTGCTTACCCAGTTTAGGAACAAGCTGATCTGAATTCCTGCATGAGGAAATCTTCGATCCAAAGAAAATAAAGGTACATTCCAAACATCCTATCCTTCTGCAGCTTTGACATTTGTTCTTTTTGTTGTTGTTGTTATTGTTGATTTTGCTTCCTCTGTTAATGGATTTGATCACTTCCCTTGGAAGTGATCACAAGGGAAATCAAGGTAAAAAATTGCTTATTATTCAGTCTACCTTCAAATTTTCAAAGTTTAGATTTTCACTTCTCTGCAGTTCTTGAACTACTTTTCTTCTGTAAATGTTGCATACATTTTTATCATACTTTTAAAATAGATTTAAAATTTACTTAATACATTTTAATTAAAATGTTTGATTAATAGATATTTTGTTACAATTAAAACATGCATATTATGGTGGGTAAAAAATACCACAATTTGATGTTTGTAAGAACTTTAATTTTTTAGCATTTTATAACAAAGTTTTTTTTCCACTCTCAAGTTCAGTTTATAACTTTTCTCTTTAATGAATTATGTTTTTGATTTAAATTGTAAGAACTTGTTGGCACTCTACCACTCAAGTACAACTCCAGTCCATTTTGCTCTGGTTATTTTGGAAATGAGGTCTCCCCATCTTAGCTTCCCAAGTAGCTGGGATCATAGGCATGAGCCACTGGTGCCTTAAAGTGTTATATTTTTTATATTTAAGTCAATGATCTATATTGCATTAGTTTTCACTTGAGATGCGTCCCTTAGGTCAAGGTCATCACTCCCACACACACCTCAATTACCCCGTCACCATTTGATAAAAAGGTCGTCTTTCCTCCATCAAACTCATTTTGAATTTTTGTTAAAAATTGGCTGGGGTTATTACATAGGTCTGTTTCTGAGTTTTTCATTTTGTTCCTTTAACCTATCAGTTTATCTCTCCACCAATACCATAGCTTTGATTTCTGCAGCTGTTGAGTAAGTTTTGAAATTGGGACCACTGATTTTAAAAATTCTCTTCTTATTCAAAAATGAACCATTCATCCACAAGAAAAATGCGAAATGAGTCCTACCATGGACATATCACAAAAATAATGAAAGGATTGAGTCAGAGTTAGTACATGTTTTGAAACCCTAAAATTATTATTTAAATGTTTCCACTCAAAGCACTATTTACTTCTAGGGAAGCAAGGAACAATTTTATTTTGGAGACAGCTGCCTATAATGTTTTAGGCTTATTTATAATATCAGCTTTCCAGACAGCTTACTGTTTAATCTCACTCTAACAACAAGGAGTTAGAGTGAGATTCAACAAAGTCCTTTCACAGAAACCACTGATGTAATTGACAGTAAGAACAGTACATCCAGTTTATTAGTACACTAATTTTTTTTGAAAATCAAGTTCAATATTCATTGCACAGGTATCTGAAAATCTCAACAGAATTTCAGCTCTTCTGAACAGCCTAAGATTTTCATGTGGCTTGGTAAATATTTCTACTCTGATACAGAAGCTTGAAAATGTTGTAGTCACTATGAGTATAACATCTTATGTGTTATCTGTTGTTGTATGCACATTTTCTCCACCTTTTCTGATAGCAATGAATTTTAATATGTTTCCATTCTGGACAACCTTGGCCCAGTGCTTGGGCATGGACCCCAAGGTGCCACTGAATAGAAGAAAAGAGACAGATTCAGGATTGCAAAGAATGCAATTTATTATGGAGACTTACTGACATAAATGTTGTCCTACAAGGCAAAAAGACCAAGTGGATCTCTGCAATTAGGGTCAGAAGGAGGGATATTGGTGACAGAAGTGACTTCGATCAAACTAGAATGTACCTGGTTTAACTTAAGCTAGTAGCAAAGAGTGAGGCACATTCCTGGTACCAGTATTCACTTGTAAAGCTTCACTGCACATACTGTTCTAATAATAATTTTGTATACTTATGGTTTGCTGGAAAACTAAGCAGGAAAACCATCATATTGTCACTCAGAGTAATCATGATGGAGTCCAACAAGATGGCAGCAGTCTTGTCAAGCCGAATCCATACAGTTTCCATTGCAATAATGGTTCCGTGTATTCCAAACATACATCTGCTTGTCTGCTTCTCTATTTTTTATTTTTCTCTCAGACATTCTAAGCATTGAAAATAAACTTTAAACATTTCATTTACCCTCCACCCAACATAAGAAGTAAAATTATGAATATATCTTAATCACTTTTCATTTCCTTCCCTTCCTTACCCTGTAAAAGTTAATTAGTAGTATAAATTTTATATTTACATGTCTATACATATCTTTATCCTTTCCCCACTTTTGTATATATCCACCAAGAAACAGTAGAGGGTCTATGAACACTACTGTTCTCTAAGTATTATTCTAACAAATGACAACAAGAAAACATTTTTTGCAACTGGAATTAGCTATAAGGTTTTTATTTTGGTTTTCAACATCCGAGGCAGCTGAACTCTCATTAATAACTACATAAATGTAAATTAAAAAATAGTGCTCCATTTCAACCCTCTTTAGCTGTAATTTTATTATTCAATATTGGTAGTGATTGACACACTCATAAATTAAAATAATATGGTGACTTAGTCAAACTTCTGGAAATACATTTTAATATACACATTAAAGATGTTAAAATTGGTTTATGTCTTAAACAAGAATGTGATTTATCAGGTGTTCTAAAGGATATAAATAAAAGGTTTTAAAAATGGCATAATTTGTGAAAGTTTTTACAATCAAATGGAGTCATATTCATCAAGCTTTAACCTAGTAAAAAAGTAAAACAAATAAATCAAGATGAGAAGTTATGAAAGGGATCTAATGAACATATGCAACAGGAACTATGCAGAAGATACTTTGGCAGAACCACACCATTTGCATAAAAGCCACCAAAAACATCTACACAGAACTCTGTTCAACTTCAGATAAGTGCCATGTTTGTCATTGATCTTTGTAGCCAAGAATTGTTTCAAAATATTTTATTTAATCCTCCTCAATTTGCCTTTAAAAACTTCCCCTTTCCTCAACCTCCCTAAATATACTTATATTTTTCTATAGTCTGTGTGTGTTCCTAGTGCAATGTTCTGCTATTTCCTCAAAATACTGTTATTCTTTGGCGAGTTTCTGACTGTGTTACTTAGGTTGACATAACTAGTGTCCAGAAGTGACCATGGTACTGATATTCAACCCTTTGGAGCGCCCACTCTCTGCTTCTTTGACTTGATTCTTTTAAATTTTATTTTTATTTTACTGACCTAGTGAGGCTTTTCTCAGGTCATGCTTCTGCTCTCT